CACTCTAGTGCTCATCTCCATTGTCTGCTCTCCACTTTATCACAAGTCTTCTAGAGATGACCTGTGCAGCTAAGCAAGCTATCAGATCATCCAGTTTATCATTTTTCCCTTGAATATTAAGATTTTTCCCAGCTTAACAGTCTATTCCTCACTTTTTATTGTAACACTCTAACTGCCCTTTCTTCTTCTGGTCTTGAACTCCTTCAGGCTAGTGTTCAGATGCATTCAGAGTCCTCCTTAGGAAGCATCAATTCATTCAGGTCACTTGACCACTTACAGTTTGACTCTAATTTCCCACTCCTTACAGGATACATTCAAAATTCTTCAGAGTAGCATTCAGGGTCCACCATGATCTGACGCCCACTTCCTTTCCAGTCTTCTCTAAACTTGCACTTCCTCCCTTCCTGCCTCGCTTTGCACCCCATACTTCAGACATGATGAGCTACTTGTTGATGTCCATTCATTCACACTTTTTCCTTTTTCAACCAAGTGCCTCTACCTAGAATGACAATCCTGACTCTTTACCTAGCTCACCTTTCAAAGCACTGTTCAAGTGTCATTGCTTCTTTGAAATCTTTTTTAACACACCTCCCTCTTTGGGGTCTGGATGTCTCACTGAAGACCTGTAACACCTTACTTCTCTGAATCTGTATATTATCTCTCTTTGTCTCTGTAAAACTTCTCTTCAATCTCTTTAGAAAGATTGGAAAACTAGAAACTATAGTAAGACATCTCAGCAGCCAAGACTCTGGATGTGAAAAAAGATTACTTATTTATTTACTTTTATGTTGCTGTTACCATTAAGACATGGGTGTGACTGTGTAGAGGCAATGGGCACCTCAGAGTTCCTGTATACAGAAACTATTCTCATGGGGAACTGGATGCATCAGTAGGGTACTGCCCTCTGTTCTACAACTTCATGGTGTGAGGCAGAATTCAACTGTCGAGTGGTGGGTCCCTGATTTCAGCCCTCTATATTTTCTAGGGGGTTAGAAAACATCCATTTCCCTGTATTACATTCTTTTTTGTCTGTTGTACCTGGAATGACTTCTATTTCTTACATTGAAACCTTTGTTTGTCTCTACAAACTGTATCATCTTGGAGGCAGAAACAAGATATTTTATTTTTATTTGTTTATTCTTGGAACCTACCATAGAGCTGGATCTCAGAAATTAAGTGAATGGTTCACTGAAGGAGCCAATAATGGCTCAAAATTATATATCACACTAAACATAAACTTCCTCCTGACACACCCACTCCTCTTTAATGCTCTCCTTTCTTATCTGCTCAAATTCGTCTCTTGTGCTTCAGTCTAATGATTCTAGTCAAATATTCTGTACACATATACACCTTACTCCTTCCCCTCTCTCTTTCTTGTGATGGCTGCTCTGGCCTGCACTGTTTCCTTCCTTTCAACTCACACTACCACCTCTGGCCAGAAAAGACTTATCAGTCATAGTCCATAATAAATAATCTGCTGATGTCCAATGATGGAAAGAAAGAACGCTTCACGTGCTTTCTGGCATTATGGTTTATCTCTTTCTATTGGTTAGGAATAGTTTTGGATATCAGTAAAAGAAACCTCAATTGCAGTTAAACTAATAAAGGTTCATTTTAATTTTTGTTTTATAACAAAAAATCTGGAGGTGAGTGATTGCTGGCTCTGGTTTAGTACTTTAAGAATGCTTGGGACAGCTTCATGTGATTCCCTTGATCTTTCCCTCATGGATGCAAATGAGAGCCCCAAATCCAGGTATTATACCTGCATTCAAGGCAGAGACAAGAAAGGAAAGACAGAGCCAGCCATGTTTGTGCCTTTTATCAGGAGAGCAAAACCTTCCTAGAAACTACTTGGCACACATCCGCTTCTATGTTATTTATGAAGATGAGCCAGATGGCCACCCCTTGCTACAGCAAATTCCAGAAAAGCAACTTTTCCTAGATGTTGAAAGTAGAAAGAAGAAAGTTGGGGAAATGACTAGTGGATTAGCCAAACTAAAGTGACTATCATATTATCTAACTTGTTTAATGCCATCATTATTCTCTGGGCAAGCTCTAGGCCTCATATTTTCCATGGTATCCGGAGGTAATACCAACGTGCTCTGTACTGGAGCGTAAAGAATACCAGTTATATGGACAATGGAGAATCAATGTAATAAAATCCCCACCATTGTCTAATATGGAGTAGATTGGAGGAAATCAAAACACACTAACTAGGTTCAATCTTCCACAAAAGGAATAAAATGAACAGGAAAAGCATGAGTTTCTTTGAGAGGCATTTCACTATTATCAAGTTAGGATCTTTCAACATCATCACCTTAGTAACATTTGCTTTCTGTTTATTATATATAATATGCCCATGTTAATTCTTTAAAAATTTATTTTTATTTTTAAATTACACTATACATTCAACATTACTTTGTATTAGTTTCAGATGTTCAGCACCGTGGTGAGACAATCATACACTTCATCAAGTGCTCTCCCTGATATTTCCAGTACCCACCCACTACCATACATAGTTATTACAATATTGCCAGTGTCAGTTCTTAAGTATAGTTTTTTAGGGAACAGCATACATTTGCATGGTTAGTCAGTACAAACATCCATTTATTATGTGTATAACCTTTATCTTGAGTTTAAACACATTTGTTAAGAGCAATGAAACGCTGGTTCATATAATGTTGAAACAAAAGTGGGGGCATATAGTCTGAAAGATTTGAGCCATTGCTTGTGACAAGTACATGAATGTCACAAAGCTGAAATGTTTAGTCAGAGTTCTGTCTCTTATCCCAAATAGAGTATCCTTAAAAATCAGGATTAACCATTACATGAGCAGATGACTCTCTCATTTTAAATTTCTCCTCCCTGCTGTTCTTCCAGTGTTTTTACCTTGAAATAATGTTAAAATGAATCTTAAAGCACGAATGACAGAGGTGGCTAAGACAAGGCATTCCAAACGTAAACCTCGAAGAGGAACCAGATTCTCTTTATGACAGGAGGGCAGTGAAGCTAAGTGGAAATGGGGAAGGAGAAAAGGCTTTGGATGACTTGTGTGCAATGACTCCCAGGCTTCTTTTTAAGTACCTAAAAGATCCCCACATGTGCGGGTCATCCAGTGCAACCAGTACCGTGTAGGGCTCTGGGGCTGGCCACTTACTGAAGAGCCACTTACTGAAGAGCCACTTACTGGGGCTCTGCTTAGGTGATCAGAAGTGCTGCTTCTGCAATAATCACACCCTTCCCTCTGGTAGAAATTAGATATTACAGCCTTTACAAATTACAGGCTCGTTGCTCTGGTGCCCTCCCAACAGTAAACTTCTTTGAGATAGCAGCTGGAAATTGGGGTAGTAAAGTAAATCCAGAGGAGGCTCGTCAAGCTTTTCTTGCCCATTAAATGAAAATAAAATATCATACTTGTGAAGTTCTATGGAAGAAAAAACTGAAAGGATAGCTCAAGTTGCTTAGTAAATAGAATTTTACTATTAAAACACCACCACATCAGCCACATTTAAAGCAAAAATGCAATGAGGAAAATGACTTGAAATGTTTAGGTTTACTTCAAGTTTTCAAATTAAAGTAGAGAGCATCGTGTTCCTTTGGGCTGTCAAATTCTTTCTCTCCTGATTCTTATAAATGCAGTAGCTGATAAACTCCTTTCTTTAGAAGTAGGATGACTATGCCAAAACCGACATTTTTTCCTTTTCCGAGAGCTTCATTGTTTTATGATGCCTAGAAATCAGAAGCATACCTAGTTCAAGTTCTTTATTCCATAGACACTCATTTTTGATTTTAAAGCTATCATGTAAAATGTCTGTTAAGTACCATTGAAACACTGCCTAGAGGTCAATCAGTTCAACTAATTTCTCATCTCCACCAGAACCTCTCTACACAGCATCTTTGACAAATCTTGTTTCAGCTTGGGTTTTGGTGACTTGGTACTCAGTGTTTTGTAAGCAACTCCATTTGAATGTTGCCCAGCCTTCTACTCACCTAGTTCTATCTTTTAAAATGTAGAGAGCGTTTATTACTTGAGCTGGGCCTGCACATCAATAGTTGAGTGTCAGTCAAATGACATGTGAAAAAAGCTCCCACTGAACACAAGTCTCCACATCACCGCAAAGTTCAAATTTTGTCCTTATTGCCTTTACCTCTTTCTTCTTTTCTTTTCTCAGCTGATGTCTTTCCTTCCTTCTTTTCTTCATTTGGAGAAAACATGATCAAAACAAGAGGCACAAGAACAAAAACACCTTAACCTCTGGTGCTGTGTAACGAACTGTGCAAGTTCAGGAGAATTACCCATTTTCCTTCCCTATACTTCCTGACCTTGCCACACAGATTCTTTTTAATTTTTTAAAAATTTAATAGTTGACATACAATATTATATTAGTTTCAAGTGTATAACATAGTGATTCGACATTTATATAATTTACAAAGTGATCACCCCATAAAGTCTAGTATCCATGTGACCCTATGCATAGTTATTATATTATTGACTATATTGTCTATGGTGGATTTTATATCCCTGTGACTAGTTTTATAACTGCCAATTTGTACTTCTTAACCCCTTCCCCTTTTTTCACCCCTCCCCACCTCTGCCATCTGTCAACCATCAATCTGTTCTTTTTATCTATGAGTTTGTTTCTGCTCCCCAACCTGTAGCTGTCAGTGTTTGTGTGTGTATGTGTAATCATTTCTGGTCAAATTCTCACCCCAACCTTGGGCTCCATTTCCCAGGTGGGGTATGAGAGGATAGCAACATAAATCTCAGTCCCGAAGAGAGGGTTGGCTCGGCTCAGATGGCTCACTTGTTTCGAAGGTGGGTCCAGGACCAGCAACAACTTAGACCGAGCTTCCTACTCTGGCCGCCAGGGGGAGGGCGTGTTCACCCAGCAAGTTTCCTGGGCGAGGGCGTGGGCGAGGGCGAGGGCGAGGGCGTGGGCGAACAGCTACAGGGCTATCCGTTCCTGTCTTTTAGGGCTGCGCAGGTCGCGTTGGAGGACATGGGGGACAAGTATGCTACTCTGCGGCGGGCCCAGCTGCATCTGGATTTCATCCATGCCAACTCGTAAGTGATTCGGGAGAGGCTGGAGAGGGAGGGTTTCACAGTGGAAAGTTTGGTTTAGCTAGTGAAATAAGTGATTTGAAAAAAAAAAAAAGTGAACTTGGTATCATTGACTTATGGAAATATTTATGTAAAATTGTTTATGCTTTTAAAAAAACTATAAAAGTGATAAAGACACATAGTCTGGGCCAGGCTAACCCCTCCCCTCACCCTTCCCCCCATTAACACTAAGAGGTAGTGACATCTAATATTTAACAAAACTATGTAATTGTAGGTCAGCAGAACCCTCATTGCACCAAAGTTGCCTATCTCTATTGATTTCTCTGCCCAATATACTGACATTTTAAAGATTAAAGTTGCCTCCAGAGAGCAATTTGTAGTTATTGATTCCAGCCTCTGTGGCCTCCAGAGTCTTTCCAAAAATGTAACCTTTCTGAAGATAGAATTCTCACATTTTAGTTATTACAGAGGCACTCTTTCTTCTCTGTCAGGCCCAGATGCCTTTTGGCTACTGATTAGGTGTTATTTCAGATACTCAGATTGCTGAGGGAGATGACAAAAGTTTTCTCTTCCATCTGTAATTTCCAACACAGCAAAGCATAGAAGCTAGTGCTGGGTAATTCGTAGTGGTATGTTTTTGTTTTGTTTTTTTGAGAGGGGAGGGGGGAATCTTTTAGTAATTTGGATTTACTAAAAGTACTGATAAAAGGCAGTGATTTTTAACCTTTCGCATCTCATGGCATACCTAAACTGATTACTAAAATTCTGCAGCACACCAAAAAAATATGTAATTTTGCCAATCTGACCAAAAAAATAGGTATAATTTTAATCCATTCATAGTGGATGGCTATGTTGTGTGAGCCGTTGTCATTTTTTAATTTGGCAATTAAGGGAAAGGAGGCCATTGCCCCTGAAGTATATTTTAAAGGGTTTTGTGGCAATACTGGTTGAAAATTGCTGATATAAGGGATGTAAAAGATTTCAAACCATAGGAAAGTGCGAAGAAAACCAGGAAAAGCTGGCCTCAGTGTGTGGGACAGTGCAATTTTTATAGAAAATAGCATAAAACAGGCAATATTCAGCAGATATTTAATTTTTATTTATCATGGAGAATAATTCAAGCTGGAAGGTATGGGACAGATAATTAAGAGTTAACAGAGGTGAAAGAAAAGTGAAGAAATAGCAATTTTGAGGTCAGTTTTAGAAAAATTTTAAGCATAATGTGGGGAGGACTGTGAATTTTACCTGGTGCAGGAAGGTTCTGCAGCCTGAGTTTTGTCCAGTTTCTGCGGGTATTGTTGCCTTCCAGGCTCGCCTCCCCCAAACCACCCCATTGTCAGTTGGTTTGGTAACTAACTAAAGAACAAAAGTGACAGTAATGTGAAGCAACAAGAACAAAATTGGATACAAATTGGCATCTTTTCTTCTCCCCTAGCTAGTAAAAACAGGAATGATTTTTTATTTTTCCCTTGCTTCACTCCCCGCTCCCAACCAATCCATCGAAGACCTGACGAGGTCTCAAATTGTCCCTGCCTCTTCATCTCCACTACCATCAACTGGTCCAGACCACAGACATCTCCCTTAGCCTCTACACTGGGTTCTCTGCTTCCTATTCTTGCCCCACTATGGTCCATTTTCCTGAAGCTGTCAGTGGAAGCTTTTAACAAAAGTAAACCCAGTATGTCATTATTCTTAAAACAGTTTCCACTCCAGCTCTGCAAAGGAGCAACTTCTCCTTGTCCTTCAGGGCTCTGTTTAAATGCGTTCTCTCAAGGGTCTCTGCTGACCCATGCCTCCTCCTTTACCAGCATCTTTTCCCCACCTGCCTTCCTTCATAGCACCTAATCACAATATCATATCATCTTAATGTATTTGTTGACTTGTGTATTTTCCATATCCCCCTCTAGCTTGAGCTCCCAAAGGGTAAAGAACATGCTCCCCCACATTGGCAAATGACAAGCAGACAGTCTTGAGTGAAAGAGTACAGAAACTTGTAAAGCATTTAATTTTGTCAGAATGATTGTAATGACTTCCCTGAAGGATTGTTTGAATTTTTGTATATCGAATCATATGTTTTAAATTTATTGGAAAGGTTTGTGCTTTAAATGCTGCTTTTGTAAAGTGTATTATCTACACTTCACTTTTGGTTTATTTTAGATTTTTACATACTAGCTTTTTTTTTTGAGTGCAGAACATCTTTTAAAAACAGTAGTATTTAGTAGTTTTTAAAAATTACGACCTTGAAAGCAGACTTGAGTCAAGAAAGCCCTCATCAGCATGTGTTTACAGTTTAAAATTCCAAGACATGATTTATATATATTAAAGAAATAAATTTTAAGCCAACATGTTGTCCTGTGACCTGAGGTATTAAAATCTCTGAGACATTGCAGGTGATCCTTCCTCTTGTACACGTGAGCAGATTTTTTTTTTTTTTTTGGTAAAGGGCGTTTATTGTTTTGCCCCCGTTTACTAAATATATGAAAAGAAAATTGCATACTGAATCTTCCCTTAAAGCTGTGATAAAGTTGCTGACTGAAATATCCACATCAGGAAATGAAAAGCCAGTGTGAGACCCTGAAGGCAGCCTGATTTCACCCACAGACGGCTCTTCAGCCTTCGAAGTGTAAATAGTGATGGCTGCGTAGAGTGCTCTGTTACCCAGGACCTGGCACGAGAGGGTGTGGGACACGGTGACTGCAGTAATTCATGAGGTTATCTCAGGAGCAGACTTTTCAAAGGTGGAAAGATTCTACAGAAAAAATAGAGATTATGAAGGCAAATAGGGGGCTCCTGCCAGTGCCTGCAATTGAAGTCTGAGGGCCTTTTTGTGGGCCAGGGTTTTAATAGTTTTGCCTTAAAAATTACAATTTTAATGAAAAAAAAAATTGATAAAACTTGAGGAAGTGCTTACAAAACAGTTTCAAATGTCAGCATTTGCTCTAAGTGCAGCAAAAGGCCCATGAAGTCTTTGTTTCATTAGGTGTAGAAGGGGTGTTTCGGGGTGTTTGGGCAACTGTGTTCCTAGCCTCAGCTTTGTAATGAAATGCACCTGCTTCAGAATCCTGATGGTGCTGAGAAAGATGTTTGTGGGATAACTCCTTAACTGATTATCTGTCTAGACCTGGAGAACATTTGTCTGCAACTTTCTTGAAACTTACACTGATTCCAGAGTTAGTTTAACTTTTCCCTTTCCCTCTGTTTTTTTCATCAGCACCACCCACAGTTTCCTCTTTGGAGCGCTGGCTGAATTGCTGGACAATGCAAGGTAAGGTTTGTCTGTTAACAGAGGTGATTGCTGGAACCCCATGACATAGATCAAGTTTTATTATATTCAAAGAGGAAAAGATAATGTCATTTTTTCCCACGTGCAATATTTTGCGAATTGATTTTCTATAAAAAAATATTTTTATAAGAAAAATAACAGGTGAAAGGAATTACTCATATTTATCCAGTTTGTATTTATGATCTAATTTGAAATTTAGGTACATTGGATGCCTGTTTCTATGTTAATAACCATGTAACAGCAGATAGTCATTTGGATGTTTTTGAGTTACGTATCAGCATATATGGTGTCTTGAGCATTTAGATTTGCGTTTGGGCATTTATTAAAGTCTGCATCAAAGTGAATTGCATAGTTAAAGAAAAAATAGCTAACTGTTACTGATCTCCTGCTATGTATGAAACTCTCTTCCAAGCACCCTAAGGATGGGTATTAGCTCATTCATATTTACAACAACAGTTTGTGGTGGTTGTAATTATCCCAATTCTACAGATGTGGGAGTTGATGCACAGAGAGGTTACATGACTTAATCAGGGTCATGCAGTTGCTATTTGGCAGAGCTAGAATTCAAATTTAGGCTGTTTGACTACAGAACTCCTCTACCCCATTTTACTGTTTCTGACAAAAGCACTAATGTTTAAAGAAATCCCTTTAACAATTCAAGGCCCACGTAAGTGTATTTGTGGGGCTGGTGAGGGAGTCAGTTTTTCAGCTAATTGAATTTGGTACTTGATTTGTTTTATATTTGTATTTTCCTATAACATTAGATTTTACTTACCTCTTCTGCAGAAAGCAATCTACCCAGGAAGTAGTAGGCAGTTGTTAGGTTAGGGATCTCAGTAGAGAGAACTAAATTCCTCGCCACAGCTTGATAAATGGATTTCAGCTGTTTGCATTTGTCCCCCATTTTTGGCCTAAGAAGAGAGATGACTCAGTGTAAATGCAGGGTGTGTTCTGTTAACCAGCCATCCAGAACTTTCTGTGCAGCAGTGCCCTTCACTAAGTAAAAGGTTACTAGCTCATCCTAATATGAAATTCTCTCTGTAGAACTGATGCAATCACAGTTATAACAGAAGGGGGCGGGGGGCGGGAGAGAAAAAAAATAAAGTTGACTGGATAGGAGAATCCTGAACTCAACTTAGAGAGTGAACAGGGATGGGGCCAAGACTCATGAACATTCACTGTTAGTCTCTCTCCCTCTGCAGGAGGTAAGGGTTGCTGCTGTTTGCTTCTGCCCGCAGCTCAGAAGCAAGGCTCCTTTTGTATCCATTAGTGTTTTCTCCCACTGAATGTCCGTTTGTAGCAACTTGGTATCTATAGGTCTGAAAAGAACAATTCTCAACCTTGACATGTGTTACTATGGAAGAACACGTTTGTCTCTTTTGCTGTCTTCTCCTCTGAAGTTGTCTCCTTCCTTCATTCAACAGTGGAGGGCAGGTAAAATTAGAATGTAGAACAGAACAATGGGAACAGTTGATATAGTAGAGGGTGATTGAGTGATTGGCAGAGAAAGATTGACTTCAGACTTAGGGGGTGAAGGAAATGTGATCAATAAAGCAATTCTTGTCCTGATTAAGTGGTTCAGTTGGTTGCAGTGTCAGCCCATACACCAAAAGGTTGTGGGTTTGATCCCCAGTCAGGGCGTGTACAGGAAGCAACGGATAGATGTTTCTCTTTCACATCGATGGCTCTGTCTGTCTCTGTCTCTCTAAAATCATTAAACATAGACTTGGGTGAGGATTGAAAAAATAATAATAAATTCTTAAGCAACATTTGTAAACTGAAAGGCCCTGACCAAGTCTGGCCTGTCTCATGTTTGTTTGATTCATAATGAAAGTTCACATGGTGTTCATAAAGAAAAGGAAGAAAAGAAGGAATTGCTGGTACCCTTGATACTCAGGCTAGGCGCTTTTGGCTCTTTATAGTTTCTTTTTAAAATTTTTACTTTAAAAATATACACATGATGTCTGTGAATTATAGAAAAGTAAGAAAAAACCTCACTCAGCTATCTTATAAAATAGAAATGGGAGTCAGTATCCTTCTCTGCCGAAGGCCAGATAGGAAATACTTTCACCTTTGTGGTCGTGAGTTCTCTGTTGAAAGTACTCAGCTCTGCCATTGTAGTGTGAAGGCAGAGCCATAGACAGCATGTCAGTAAATGGGTGTGACTGTGTTCCAAGTATTTACAGAAATGGTGGGCCAGGTTTGTCCCATGGGCTATACAGTTTCCCAAGCTCTGACTTACAGAAAACCACTGTTAACATTTTCATTTCTTTCATTACAGATATGCACATGTATACTATGTATGTTCTTAAAAATGTGTTTATACAGTACTATATGGCTTAGTAATTTGGTTTTTCTTTTGAACTTTTTAAAAACTAAGATACATCATGAAAATTATTCTCTGACTTTTGGATTATTCTCCAGTTTTTAAAAATATTCATCTCTATTTTGTTGAACTTTTTGTGACTCTACCATTAATTCCATCTATTCTTTTAGTTTTCTGAGTTTCAGGCTTTGTAACATTCCCAAATTATGAGTGATAATAAGTCTTAGTATAAAAATGTAGAGTGAAACATTTTAGTAATTAGGTTGTCCCTGAAGTAATTTAAGTGGATTTCTTTATTGTTTGTTACATGATAATAGGTTTTACTTCACTTAAGCAATTCAGATTAATGTAATAAAAAAAATTTCACATTGAAACAATGATATTTTTATATTGGTTCCAGAGATGCAGGAGCTGCAAGACTTGATGTGTTTTCAGGTGAGCAGATTTGCTTTCTTGTTCTTCTTTTTTTATTCTTATGGGAAAGCCTGAAGTTATTTTGCTTTTATTTTATTTCATAAATCCAACCACGTTCCATAGATCTTCAATGTAGTCTAAGTGCTTTGTGACCACAGGGACCTGTGAGGAGCCAGGTTGAGAAAAATACACCACAAGAGTGACATCGTCCACCTGTTGGAAGACCCATTTACAGAACGAGCGCTTTCAGGGGTTTGTGAGAGCATCAGTGATTTGGAACAGTCTGTTTGTCTGCCACAAGAAAACAGTTTTATTTTAAAAAGCATATTAACCTAACAAATATTTGTAATTAAATATGCATCGTTCTCAACTTGTCACAGTTTTAAAATGCGTAGGTGAATGTGCAGTGTGAATGTTTGAGTGCTGTAAAATTCACACCAAATATGTTTTCTTCATTAACTTCATTTTTAGCCACCAAGTATTTGTTGCACTTACTAGTTCATGTCATTACAACATGATGCAAACGAAGTTAGGTTCTGCGATCCAGTCCTATAGTTAACACTACCTCGGGAAATGTGCACGTTGTTAAAACTGATCCCCATCCCCAGTTCTGTCTAATCTCCTGAAAATATTGGCTGTTGGTCACGAGCGAGAGAATATGGTCCTTGATGTAAATCCATACCTATATTAAAAAGCAGCTCAGTTAAATTCAATTTTCTAAGTGTTGAAGATCCTGTGCATTTGGGCGTTTCTGGTTCACAAGGGAGAGAGATCTGATGAAACATTACAAATGACCGTATTCTTCCCTTTCTACTCTCCAAGTTCTGAAAAGTGAGACATACAAGAGTCGTTCTTTGTTACTGATAAGTGCCAGGTTGGAGTGTGGAGCCCAGTGTGGGAGAGCTAGCAGACCTGCTGGAACCAGGCTCCCCTCGCCAGTGGAGTCAGGCTTCCCTCAGAGCTGGTGTGCTGGGAGGTGGGCGGTGGGCGAGAGGCCCTCATCCCCTCTGCAGGCAGTCATTCCTAAGAAGGAACATGAGACATCTGAGCGGAGCCTCCCCAAATTACCAGTCAGATGCGGAATTCACTACTACAGGGGAAAAGGGAGTCAAGGGACAGAAAGGGCCTCCTTACTAACACTCATTGAATTCCATTCCACACAGAAAGAAACAGCAGAGGCGGATAAGAAGTCGTCTTCCCTTATATATCCAATTTCAGAGAGTAAAATAGCATAAGTGGCTCTTGCCCAGAAGGGACTTGGAGTATGGTGAGAATTTCATAGAGAAGGAATACCTCATGTTGAAGAGCTAGGACTTGAAATATGGACGTGATTTTTTCAAGTAGTACAGGAAGAAACGAATATTACTGTTGAGGAATTACTGTGAGGAAAAAAAATAGACTGAGAGGTTCATTCATTTACTCAGTAACAATTATGAAGGACCTATTATGAATGAACCAAGTAATTATTCTAGGTGCTGGGGATAGAGCTTTGAGCAAGATGTTTGATTAAGTTTGTGTGCTCATACAACGTGCCTTCTAATGAAGAGAGACAGTGAAGAAATGAACACCAGACAATGATACGTGCTGAAAGGAAAAGGAAACCAAAGTGGGATAAGAGAACGGAGAGAGAGGAGCGTGTTTTTCATGGGGTGATAAGGGAAATCAGCTAAATAGATTATTTACCAGCAAAACCCTGAATGATGTAAGAGATTGAGTCATATAGATACTTTGGGAAAAAGGACTCAGGGAACAATGACTAGGTAGCTTGGTAGAGCTAAGTGTTAGATCCAAATGGATGAGCACTTTGAATACCACACTAAGGGTTTATTATTTTTTTTTCTTTCAGTAAACAGTGGACCACTGAATAACTTTGAGCAATGTCATTTGGCAAATTCAAATGTTCTTTTGTCCTTTGTAAAAGATACTCCAGCAACAGCACACAGGACAGTCGATAGAAGGGTGACAGGAGACATATAGCAGGGAGGTGGGGCCGGAAGATTTCATGAGGATTTGAACTAGGGCAGTCGTCCTAGAATGGACGAAGGGAAAAGAGAATTAAGCTGCATTTCATTTAGAGCTCTTTATTTATAAAGGGTTGAGAGGAATTATCTGGAATCCCAAAGTACAACAGATGTAATCAGTATTCATACATTATCTTTTGTGTTTGTGACAGAACACCAAGCAGGGCATGACAGTGTTCAATCTCACTTTCTCTAGCACTTGTTACGGTCATAATAGATAAAAAAGAATCTTTGAGATTTGCATTCAAATTGGCACTTTTTTCTTTAGGTTATATGCATTTTGTGAAAAACTGAACTTGTGGTTTTTGGTTTTAAACCACATGTTTATGTTACAAAGTTTTTTTTTTTTTAATCGAAGCAAACCATAATGTGGCCATAAACCTAGCAAATTAATTTTTCCAAATAAACAAACCAACCAGGGCCAAGGGTTATGCACCAATAGATAGAATTGGTGTGGGGCTGCATAGTTCATCGAGGTATTGGCTAATTTTCCAATTACTTATTGAGGCCCCTGAATTACTCTCCAGTCTTAGGTTTTCTTTAAGTAACTTGAGGGCTGGCTATACAATTCAAACTATATATGTATTCAGCCATGGGTGTTTTATCTGTGTGTGCATTAGTTCTAGTAAACATGGTTATCTGTTCGATGCATTTTTTTAGCACTTACCAAGTGGTGGGCTGAATGCTTGCTTTTAAGGAATTGGCATCCTAGTGTAGCGGTGCATGGAAAATATGGTATGTGTCTGCCTTTTTATGGGTAGAGGGTTCATAGCTTTTATCGTATCTCTGAGGCAGCTCTGTTACAAAGGGTGTAAAAATCACTAGTCTGAAAGAGAGATAGATATCTGAATAGGTATTTAAATATTGTGAAAGATGATGAAGACAGATTATAAAGAACACATTCATTATAGGCACCTGGTGATATGGAAGGATTAGGAAATCTTCCTGGAAGAAATCTTAAATGAACTAAAGACCTAAATAGGCCTTCGACTGGTGAGCCAAGGATAGGAAAGGCAAAGGAGTGCTGTGTGCAGTGGCTCGAATCTGGAGAGACCCTAGAACACTGACAGACTTGTAAAAATGTTTGAGATGTTCAAGGTTTAGTTTAAGGGAGTTATTTGTGTGGAAGTAGGAGATTGCAGTATGGGTGGGGGAGGGGAAGACTAGATACGAGCTTGGAGAGTATATTAGCCAGAGGTCTTAAGAGAAACACAACCAGTAAGAGAGAAAAACCCCCACTTTCTGTCTTTCTTCCCCTTCTCTCTCTCTGTAATATGTATATATATACACATATGTATATATGTATATATAGTACACATGTATATTATAGAATAATAATACATAATAAATAAAACTATTATACATAATATATATTTATATGATTATTATGTATATGTATATATGTGTATATATTTAATGTATATATATTTGACTTACTTTCAGACTGGGGCCAGCCAGTCTGAAATCTGTAGGGTAGTTGGCAGGCTGGATAGCCAGATAGTGCCATCCCGGGTTCTAAATCTTCAGGGAATACCAGCAGCCTGGAAACCTATGTAGAGTTCCTGTGCTATAATCTTGAGGCAGAAAAATTGTTTCTCTTTTGCAAAACCTCAGTCTTTGCTTTTAAGACCTTCAGTTGATTGGATGAGGCCCACCCATGTTATTGAAGGCGATCTGCTCTGCTGCTAAATGTTAAATGTTAATTATATCCACAAATACTTTCATAGCAACATCTAGCCTAGTGTTTGACCAAATAACAGGGCAGCATGGCTTAGCCAGGTTGACACATAAAATTAACCATCCTAGAGAAGTAGGAGGGCCAGGTGATAAAAGGTCAGCAAGATTTGTTGACCGGTTTGGATTTCGTCCTGTGGGCAGTGGGGAGCAGGAGAGTACTGCGATACACAGCGGCTGCGGGCGGCCTGGGGGCTGCCTGAGCGCTCTGATTTTAGCGGGAGCTGAGAGTTAGGAAGATGTTGCTGTAATGCAGAGGAGAGATGAACTAAAACAGTATAGTAGGGATGGAGAAATTGGTCAAATCTGAGAAACATTAGGGAGGTGGCATTGAGAGGACTTGTCTGTAAATGGGGTGAGGAGAGAATGAACTTGCTTATCCAGAGGTTTTGACTTGGGCACTCGCAGCTTAATGTCAGCGTAATACCATTCATTGAACGGGAAGCTTTAGGAAGAGGAGTAAATCAGATGACAGGTGTCGTGGTTTGTTTTGGACATGCGTATTAACAGGTAATGAAAATCTATCTGAAATACATAGTTATAAGAAATTGAAATAAGGCCAAGCTTTAGGGCGGTTGGTAGGGAAATATTAAAATTTGAGACTGTGATCATCTGCACATCTCATTGGGATTTATAGAAAAAGTAAGTACTGTATATGCATCTTGGGAATTTTGAGTCTTTCCTACCTGTACGCTGAAGAAATGCCCTTTGTGGAAACTTCTTTCCTGAGAACTGTGTATCAAGAGCTGCAAATTCAATTCTTGCAACTATGCACAACTGCCTGAGGCTTGAATCAGGTGGCTCCCAATTCTTAGAAACATTAGGATAATTGAGGGTGGGGCTTTGATTCCTCAACTCCATCCAAGACCAATTCATTGAGAATATTTCCAGATGATTCAAATGTGCAGTCAAGGTTAAGAATTACTGCATTTTGCAAAGCACTCAGTGAGAGTTGCACTCGCCTCGAACGGCCTGGAAATGCCAGTTTTAGTAAGGTGGAGGGCTGAACAGAGCATATAGTTAAAAAGGAGTTGGAGGGGAGGAATATTCTGACATAGGCGTGGAGGTAAGCCGGCCCGAGGACCAGGCAGAGAGAAGAAACTGGGAAATTGAATGGTAGGGAAGATCCAAAGGGTTTGAGAACAGGAAGTGAGTTAGAGAAAGTAGGGGTTATACATGGGCATGTGACCATAAAATTATGAAGCCAGGACGTTTAGGCATGCTTATTAGATATTTACTTATGGATTATCCTGAATATTATTGAAT